ACATAGCCATTACACTAACTGTTGATCCCCCCAAATGGCTAACTTTTAAAACAGATTAACCAAAATTTCTCTATCCAAATAAATAAATAGCTGAGTGCACTGTTTTAAATGGTGACCTTGGTTTTCTAACATCATAACTGTAATCATATTCATAGTATACTAACCCAAATAAATAAAGTGAGTAGCTAAGCTGAATAATACTAGTTTTAGTTATAAAAACAATATACCAAACAGGCTTTACTACATATACAGTAATATGCTAGTTTTCTTATTCATTGAACTAAAATTTTATTGTGACCAGAGATTTTCATCACAGTTGTGCTAATTTCCCAAAATATATGCTTGAACAATTTTGAGTAATGTTACCAGTCTCAATCTATCTATAAAGGTAACACCAAAAGAGAAATTCCCAAAACATTTTGTGCAATAACATTTCTGTGGTCCATTCATATTTCCCAAAAGACAACTTATAATTGCAACTCATTTAGCTATTTTGATGTGTTAAAAAAAAAAGAAACAGCAGTCCCATCATTTTATACCCATATTTCATATTTAGGTTAAATTATAAATTTATTGGACTAAAATTAACTAAGACTTATAATAGGAGATTAGATCTAGATTTCCATATTACTTTAGAAAAACATTCAAATTCTTACTTCTAAAAATTAAGCCAAGACCCCTACTGATATTTTGCAGAATTTCCAAGAAAATGCAAGAATGTAAACTAAAGAACTTTAAGTAGTTATTTATTAGTAGTGAATGAACCTATTTGGTCACTGTGTTTTTTTTAGATTCTTCTGAGACTAAAACACAAGTGCAAAGAGCCTGCTCTACTTTTATAGCTAAATGCTAAAGAGGAATTTTGATGCTGATACACCATTTTTTTCTACTAAGGTAAAAAAAAAAAGTGGTCTGAAAAACATTTTGGTCCTGACAAAGTAATAAGCAAGATAAAAAAGCTCTGAAAGTGAACATTATGTTTTCAAGTTCCTAGCAGAAGAAAATCATTCTGAAGATCCTAGCAATCAAGAGCAGCATAGGGAGCATGGGTGCTCTTATTTGAAAATGGAGGGGCCAGGAGGTGTCGCAGTGGTGATATTACTGGATCCATGTGGGAAAGGCCTTGGGTTCATATCCTAGGACCTTCCTGAGCACCCCAGGTATGCACACATGAACTGGCTGACACTGGCAGTGGATTGCAATGTGATGACCTTCTTGGGAATGCCTGACTCTATCTCACTGTCTCTCTGTTTCTTTGTCTTTCTATCTTTGTCTTATAGAAGAAATAAATAAACTTACGGAAAAGAAAAAAGAATTAACTGTGGCATAGAGGTTGCAACCTGATTGAATAATCAGAAATTTAACATTTCAAATTAAAGTGTTTCATCAATATAATAATAATAATAAGAGGGTTAGCACATTATTATGAATAATGGGATTGTTGTAATAGCAAAGAGAATGCAAGCCGGCATTCAGTCCGTGAACTGCATTAAAGCTCCTACAGTGGCAGAAGGTTATGAAGGATATCTTTAGAAACCAAAATAGCAATGGATGGAGTGGGACAAGTTCTGTCCTTGGGACAGAACTTATGTTATCATTTGTTGTCCGTGTTGTCTCCCGTGATGATAGTTCAGTCATAAAAGTAATGCTTTGCTGCAGAGTGTTGGCAGCGACTTTTTATGGAGATCAGAGAATGAGTACTAAAAAGCACTATTGAGGTATTTACTGGTTTTGCAGTTTTGTCAAGTATTCAGTTACGTAACCGTAGTCACTAAACTATCAATAATTAAATGTAGTTTAGTTTTAAGATATAAAATTTCATTTTATTTCTCTTGTTCTTACTCTAATAAACTATGTTCCTAAGAATATTTTATGCCAACACATTTATTTTAAAATACTTAGATTCAAAGGGAATGCAAAGTGAATCCTTTACACAGTATTAATGAAAATAGGAAATGAGAGAAAAAAGTATAATATATAAGGCCATCGGGAGAGTTCCAACTCTAAACCAAGGTATTTAGGAATATGCCAGGGGCATCATGCAGCTTTATTTCTGCAGTTCTATCACCATGGCTGTACTTAGAGATGAAACTCAGTCTTCCACAGTAAGCTTTTTCTCAGAGTAGGTTTAATGGTTATGTGAGGATATTGGTTCTTGTAAATGGAAATTCCAAGACCAGATTAGTGGTTTTAAAAAGTTTTATTGTCGGGACCAGCAGTTAGCATAATGGCTAATGTCGCTGGACTTCCATGTAGTCGACCGCAGTTAGAGTCCTAGGCCCAGTGGCTTAAACTCACACCAGGCACGTGTGCATGCATGCCCAAAATCCCAAGAGGAGAATGGAGGAGAAGGGATTGTGGCATGGCTATCCCCCTGGGGGATGATTTCTCACTTTCTATCTCTCTGTCTCTCTCTGTCTTTCTGGTGAGCACACAAACCCTATAGCAAAAAACCTCTCAAAAAAAAAATAGTGCATTGTTTAAATAAATTGTGTACAAGGACAAGATAAAGTACATTACATTATTACTTTTTTACGTGCTAGAATTTATGTGTACTCACAAGAGAGAGCACAACCCTAATGGGGCGTGATCATGCCACAATCTTTTTTCTCCATTTCTCCATTCCATCAAGGCTTTGCCACACATGCACGTGTACCCAGAGTATTTTCAAGCCACTAGGACTGGGATATAACCCAAGTTGGCCGTGCATACTTCAGAACTGGCCTTTATTAAATAATATTTTAAAATGGTACTTTATCATTTAGAAGATTATGCATTTTATAAAGGGATTTCAAAACTTACTGAAACAAATGGAATCATAATACGAGTTTAGTGCTAGCTGGTGGTATGGTAATTAAGGCAGCTGGATCCCACATGGCCAATGGCGCAGTTCAAGTCCAGAATCAGCAGCTTGAAAACACATTTTGGGCATCAGGCTCATATGTAGATGTACCCAAAATCCCAACAGGAGGGAGATAAAGAGGAAGAGTTATTGTACTGTGGCCATTCTCCATGGCAAGTGCTTTCTCGCTCTCTCTCTCTCTCTCTGGTAAGCACACATGCCTTCTGACAAATTTTTACAATATTAAAAATTACTGTGTTATAAAAATTTTGAAATCCATCCATAGCTTTTTCATAGAATGTATTTTATATGAACTCTTTGAAGACCCCCTCATATTTTAAGTTTAAAAGATAGATTGTGGGCCGGAAGGTGGTATGGTGATTAAAGGCGCTGGATTCCTGCATGACTGATTGTGATTCGAGTCCTGGACCTGAGGTTTGCTTTCTCACTTTCTCTCTCTCTCTCTCTCACTCTCACTCTGTCCCTCTCTGGTCAAATTAAAATAAATATATAAGGTTAAAAAATAATTATTTAGGAAAAAAAGGTGGATTAAATATAAATTTATTTATTTATTAAAGTTATAAATGAAAAAGCAAAATGGCAGATTATAAAACATGAATTCATATAAAAAAGTACTAGATTTTTGAAAAAATAAAATCATTTTACATGTTGGCATACACAGTGTGATCTCCTGTTTGTAAGTATGTAAAAATTTAACTATATATGAAAATGCACAGGGAATATTTTAAACATATACAATTATAATGTTAATGGTTATTTTAGAGTAGTCCTATTAGTCATGATTATGGTATTTTTATTTTTTGTTCATATGTGTTTTCTAAATTCTCTGCCATAAATTTTCTCTAAGGAAATGACTCTTTAAAGAAATAAATCAGAGACCAGCAGATGGAATACTGGATACATTACTGGGCTCCCACATGGCCACCCACGATTTGAGTCCTGGACCCTGTGTCTTGAATCTCATGTTGGGCAGGCGTGTCCAAGATTCCAGGAGGAGAATGGAGGAGAAGAGATTTGGTCATCCCATTTGGGGGCTAATTTCTCACTTTTTCTCTCGCTGTCCCTGTCTCTCTCTCTCTCTTTCTCTCTGGTGAATACACTTGCCCTTTGGCAAAAATCTCTTGAAAAAAAGATCATTAAATATATGAAGAAATATTCAAATGCACTTTAAGTCAAAGGCTGCAAATTAAAATAATTATATATGATATCTCTTAATATGCAAATATTTAAAATAACAATAATACCTAGTTTATGGAGAGTGCAGAGAAGTATGCTTTTAAAATTAGCACATTTCTTTGACAAAGAAGATTTAATTTTAGGACTCTAAGGAAGCCATTAGATTTCCACAATTATGAATAAAGATGGATCATTTATAAATTTATATAAAATATTAAAAATTAGATATAGTAATAATTTGGTCTCTAATTATAATTTTCTCATAAACAGTACCACCAGAAAGTAGAATATGTCTAGTTGCTAAAAATGAAAATGAAATATTATTTATTGGCAGTGAAACATATTCAAGAGGTATGTGGCTAAAGAGAAAAAGGGTACACAATGGTGTTGTGAATAATCCTAATTTAGTAATGTACTCATGCATATGTTTGTATTTATAAGTATGAAGAATAATCCGAAAGAACTGACTCACAATGTTACAAGTATTTTCTGTGAGAGGTGAAATTATGAGCAACTTTTATCCTTTCCATTGCTTTGTTTTGAATTTTTTTAAACCATGTGTCACTTATATTAACGTTGATTTAAAAATGTTTTCAAATTATATATCCTACGATGAGGATAGAGTCACAAAGTGTGCTTACTAAAGATACTCAACCATGATAAAAACAGGGGTAAATATAAAAATACCAAGTTTTTAGGCATGCGAGACCCTTGCTGCTTTTTGTGAACAGGTATTAAATCAAAGTGCAGATCTTCAGATTTTAAATCATTACCTACGTTTTAGAGTGACCCTCTATTTTCCCAGAATATGCAATAATATTTTAATTTTAGGAGATACATTTTCTTCTGTAGAAAACATAATTAACAATGGATTTTGGATCACGATTTCTACCTATTCATGAGTCAACATGATACAAGATGGGAAACAAAGACAGAAAGGGGAGAAAATTCAGTTACTTACTCTTGTTGTATAGGCAGCTTCCGGGTCATCTTCTAGAACACGTGAAAGTCCAAAATCAGAAACCTTACACACCAAATTGCTATTGATCAAGATGTTCCGAGCAGCGAGATCTCGATGAACATAACCCATGTCTGACAGGTACTTCATGCCAGATGCTATGCCTCGAAGCATCCCTACTAGCTGGATGACTGTAAACTGGGCGTCATGTTTCTGCAAGGCATTCCGAAAGTACATTTAAGGTATTTTGCTACTTCCTAAAGATACTTCTTTTTCAGCTAAAATCAGATGTACCAAATTTTGTAATTAGACTGACCACACACTTTGGTTGGTTGATTGTTTTTTTGTTGGTTTGTTTGTTTTTCAGAATGGATCTCTCTGTGTCACAAAGTTTCTGCCTCAGTCTCCAGAGTAGCTGGGGCTTGAGGCATTTACCACCACAACTGACTTTTTACAGTAGCCAGGAATTGAACCTGTGCCTCCCACATGGCCTCATCCTGCAAAGGAGCCGCATCAACAAGCATACTCCTGGGTCTTCAGGCATTTACCACAACTGACTTTATACAGCAGCCAGGAATTGAACCTGTGCCTCCCACATGGCCTCATCCTGCAAAGGAGCCGCATCAACAAGCATACTCCCTTAGCTGAGCCCACAGTTTAGTAGCAACCATTTAAAAATTAACAAGACACATGGATAAATGGAAACATGGCTAAAATAATCTAGAACAATGACTGCATTACCAAATAGTCTAGAGCAAGAAGTATCCTGATATTTGAAATCAATTTCAAAACTAGGATGTTCTGTCTTTATGTTATATACCATTTCCTCCTTGGAAATATTAAGGGCAAAACCAAAACATAAAATGATTATTGTGGCTATGGGTTAATAATTATTGGTTTGATTCCATTTTTAATCTTCTTGGTATCCAGAGAGTAGATCAATTGCTCCAAAAAGGTAGATATCAATATTTTAATTATCAATAATAGTTCATAATTATTAAAATATGTTATTGAATATTTATGCTTCTCCCCAACACCAAGTTGCGGGTTACAAAATCAAAAGCAATAAAAGACAAAGTCATATAGCCCAGAATCTAGAAAACTTCTTATCTGCTTGGATTAAAATAGAACTATATAGTTTATGATGCATATATAAGACATTAATATAAAAGTTCATGTCTGATTACAGCTATACAGACAATATATATTTTTAAGGTTTTTGACACAGGGTGCATATGCTTGCCAGAGAGAGACAGTTAAGGAGAAAGTGAGAAGTCACCCTCCCATGGAGTATGGCCATCCCTTCACCTCCTTTCTCCTTCTTGGATTTGGGGCATGTACGTACATGCACCTAGTGTGATTTTCAAGCCACCAGGTATGGAACTCGAATCACAGTCAGCCATGTTGGAATCCAGCACCTTAACCACCACAACACCTGCTTGCCCCAAAACAATGCTTAAAAAATATTTTTAATATAATATACTACTGATGACTGTTAGCATTCGAACTTAAGAAAATGTTTATATTTCTTTAAGTATGATTTGTGAAATATGTTAAGATATACCATAATAAATATTTATTAAGATATATTAAAATAGAAAAAGTATAAATTTAAAGTATATATGCATGTTTATATATTTATTTAAAGAAGAGGAATTATTTCTATTCGTGTTATTTTTGTCTAGCATTATGATTCTTCCCTTATGTTTTTAATTGAACTTGGCAGAACAAAAAGTTTAAAATAGGTTGCAAACTTCATTTTCAAAATATAAACCATTGACATTTGGATATTATAAGATAAATATGTAATTTTATAGTTTTCCTCTCATTATCATAGAAAAGTCCAGTTTTATTTTAAGCTTAGATTATCTGACTTTGGGGGACAAAAATAATAGAAGGTGTCTCTAACATTTTCAGCACTTCGTACAGAATACAAATATATATATATGTATGTGTGTGTGTGTGTGTGTATATACATACTTATATATGAACACGTACATGTAAAATCTTTTACTTACCCGTAAGAAACTGTCCAAGGATCCATTCTCCATGTATTCTGTGACAATCATAACTGGTTTACCTAGATAAAGGATAAATACTAAATTAAATATGTAAACATTTCCAGTCAACAAATATCTTTCAATGAATGTATACAAAATGCTTTGATACACTTGATGAATATAAGATATTGAGAACTGTCTCATACTTCCAAATTTTTAAAATATGGAATTTAAAAAGCAAAGCTGGGACCAGCAGGTGGCATGGTGGTTAAGGCGCTGGACACTCCCACAAGGCCAACCAGGGTTCAAGTCATGAATCTAATGGCTTGCTTTCTTAATTCCTCTCTCTCTCACTCTCACCCTCTGTCTCTCTCTGGTCAAACTAAAAAATAAAATGAATGAATAAGTAAAATAAAATAAATATTAAAAATAAAAAAATAAAAATAAAGAAATAAAATTTTAAAAAACAAAGCAAAACAATAAATAAACAGCTTCAGTGGAAAATGAAACATTAAAAATAACAGGAGACTGGTTTTTAGAACAAAGGCCTATAACCTATAGTATCCAAATTGCCTTATTTTTCACTTTAATTTTTAAGAGGTGTTTTGCTATAGGTTGTGTGCACTTGCAGAGAAACAGAGAGACAGAGAGATTACTTGGGAGTCTGGTGACATAACCATTATGCCAGCTGCTGGTCCTGCCTTCCTACCCTCATGGCTTTTGCATGTTTTGTTGTACAAAACAATTGCAAGTAGTAATTATAATCTTTTTACCTGTATTCGACTAACACACTAAAATTAAAATCCATGCTGACTCTGTTTAAAAGGAAAATTAAAAAGAAAATGGCTTTTGGCAGTAACTTGTAATAACCATTTGGAATTATGTGACTTTAAATACCATTAAACCTTTTAACCAGAATTTTAATGTATTTATGTAGCACTTATTATGTGCAAGATAGTAGCTTAATTATTTTATATATATTAATGTGTTAATTATCATTTTCATTTTACACATGATAAAACTGAGACACAAAGGTTAATTAACTTGCTCAGCATCAGAGCTAACAAGTTATAGAGACTGAAGTTTCAACACTAACACTACACTGTTACTGTTGGAAATTTATACTATGAGGAACATTTAAAGTATGAGAAAGGATCAGACAAAGAAGGGGCTAAATATACCAGAGAGGGAGAGCTACAAATAGAATAAGCATGCAACTAAAAATACTGATTTAGTCAATTACCACATGTCAATTCTTTGGATTTTTTAAAATTGAAATGATAACTGAAAACTGTAACACTTTAGGGAATTGTTACACTATAATAGTGCATTAACAAAGCAAGGAATATTACATAACACTGTATGTTTTATGATAACTAGGAAAATGAGTAATGCCGCAAACAGTCTAAAAAGAGGAACAGAAAATGGATACTTTTGATGTACAAGAAATACTAGCAAGCACTCCCTATAATTAGAATGATATAACTTTGTACTTAACACATGTGACATCACTAAACCTTCCTTGTATCCTTAGGTTTTAGTAATACGTATTGTTATCATTTTTCTGTTTTATCACTAAACCTTCCCTGTATCCTTATTTTTTAGTAATATGTATTGTTATCATTTTTCTGTTTTCTCATCTGGAAGCATCGTGGATTGAAATTACTAGTTGAAGTCACAGTTAGCTAGTAGTTGAGCAATATGGCTCTCTGGTTTCAAAGCCTAACATGTTAGTCTCGAGCTTTATTGCTGCTATATTATTTTTCAAATGTAAATCCACCATGTTACAAGAAGGAAAATCACTTTATTTCCAAGTCTAGAGGACTTGGCTAAGTGTTAACCTAGTACTACTGGAAGGCCTTGAACGAAAAATAGATTTTTTTTGTTCATTCATTTCTTCTATCAGAGACACAGAGAGAGAAAACTCCAAACAGATGAGCACCTCAAACTGAGGCCATGATCTGCACCCAGCCTCAAGCAGCCCTGGATCATGGGCATCACGTGCCTGGAATACTCAGGAGGGCTCCAGGTGTGAACTCGGAACCATCTCAAGTGGGTCAGCCTAGCAGAGCCGCATGCTTTACTTCCGTGCAAACCATCTGGCCCCAAGCAATATAACTTTTAGCAAACATCATTATGTACGCCCAGCTTATAACACACATAGACTTTTTCATATATGTCTTTTATATCATGAAGGTTATTTTGCCAATCTGATGCTATAAAGTAACATCTTATTTTGGCTTTTTCCTTTCATAAGTAAAAATGCTTCACTTATCCTAGTTCTGAATTAAAGATTAGTATTATGAGAGCTTTACTTACTATACATTTAGTTAACTTGATATATCCTCCGAAGTTCATCTTATTGATTGAAGTGAGAAGAAAACTACGTAAATGTATAAAATTGCTCAGATAAGTTTCATATATATTGCCAATCAATTGATGTGTTGATCTATTTTCCATTAAGACAAGATATTGATTTATGTATGTTTTAGGTATGACACCGCATTTATCTTATTGCTCTATCAATACTAATGTCTGAAGAGTCATTTTAGCCAAAATCTGGATTCTCCAGAACTTGCCTTTTTTTTTTTTTTGAGAGGTTTTTGCTATAGGGCACATGTGCTCGCCAGACAGACAGAAAGCGAGAAATCACCCCCTAGGGGGGATGGCCACTCCGCAATCCCTTCTCCTCCGTTCTCCTATCGGGATCTTGGGCACACACACACACGCCCGGCGTGAGTTTTAAGCCATCGGGTCCGGGACGTGAACCTCGGTCGACTGCATGGGAGTCCAGCAACATAGCCATTATGCTAACTGCTGGTCCCTCGCCTTTTCAAAATTCAAAATAAATTGGACTGGATAATATTCAAGAAGAAAGGGAAGATTCCTTGGAAACTTTGATCTCTCCTGAAATAGTAATAGACCTCTCATCACTGGTCCCAGAGATAGGCCTGGCATGAGTGGAATAAATGAGGGAATGAAATCCTGAATGCATGTTCTGCATAAACCATCTCAGTTCCTGTGTTCATTTGTTAGTATAATTTGGGGAAAAATGAATGCTACTGCAATTTCACGAATGCTCTGAATATAGTCACAGATATTTGGGCTCACACCGCCCACTCTCCATCACTGACCGGTTACTGCATTCATGTACTACGCAGACCTTTATTCACCACTCTTCCTTCTGGCTCCCAGCCTCATGACCATTTCATTTCTCATTAGCATGTCTAGTAGAATGTTTGGCAAGGGAAATAAAAGTAGCTGAAAAATCAAACCAGTCAATTAAGCAAAAGCCCCATGACCATTCAGAAATCAGATCAGGCTGCATTTAACTCTGTAATTTAGGTATTTGTAAACACATCAGTTAAAATGGACAAGTCTGAAAATGTGCTTTGCATTAAGTTCAAAGATGGAGCAAACCAAATGTACAGACAAAGAGTAAACAGAACCACAAATAGTCTACCTTGGAAAGCAGATTCTTGACTTAGAGTTCCTCTTGTGATTTTGATTATGATAAAAGAAGGTTAAAAGAAAATAGACTCTGCAACAGTGGTGAGAACTAATTCTAACACACATTGAATGCGGGGAAATTGTTTATAAAATGCAAGCTCATCACCATTATTGTACAGTGTATTTGTATTCACATTTGCTCTTTCTTGTGCATTTTGACTTACAAATGACATGAGCAGCATCCTCAAAACAGAACCTGTATCATTCACTGTCTTCAGAGACTCCAAAGCACATCTGAGTGTGTACACGAACTTCAATGAAAGGACTATTCCAAGACTGGGGGAACTGAAACCCCATCAAAAATGAGCAAAACAAAATTTACAGAGAAGTCTTGTCTTTGTTCTTAAACTGATTTACAATCATAGATAAAATGGTGATCTTTCACAATTAGAGATTAAAGGGAAGCAAATCAGGCTGGTGCAATCAATTTATTTCCTTAACTAACCCCAGTGACTCAGAGAGATTACTGATCATTGAATCACTGCTTGATGAAAGAATAAATGTGGTTCAACATGTCTAAGGATTCCAGATTCAACCCCTGAGAGTTCACCATGACTTTCTTAATCACATTTTCTATAAAAAGCAGAAAAGAGCGATGTGATATATTTATATGTAGTCAATAATAGATATATTTTCTTTGTAATTTTCAAATTAATGTTGATTTCTAGATTAAAATATTATCATTTTAACACAAAATACTTATCAGTTACTAAGATATTATAAATTATTGAAACTTAATTAATTTCCAGAGAAAATGATATTAACATCTATTAACAACTGTTATTGTGTCTTACACTTAATACATGCTGAATTGAGGTGAAGGAACCAGGTTTCTTGTTCCTATTTTAAAAGAATTGCTTGTAATATTTAACTAGCAAGTATGATGCTTCTAGATTTGTTATTGGCATATTTATATACTTCTATTAGACATACATATTTCTATGTATGATTCTAGTAAAGAATTCAAAATTGAAGTGGTTGTTTGATCTCTGTACCTGTTGAGATTAATTTTTCTTTTTATCTATTAATGTTGTGAATATTTATAATTATTAATTTTTTTTTTGGAGAGATTTTCACTATGGGGCACGTGCGCTCGCCAGACAGGCAGAGACAGAGTGACAGAAAGCGAGAAATCACCCCCCAGGGGGAATGGTCACGCCGCAATCCCTTCTCCTCCATTCTCCTCTTGGGATCTTGGGCATGCACACACATGCGCCCGGCATGAGTTTTAAGCCACCGGGTCCGGGACACGAACCGCAGTCGACTACATGGGAGTCCAGCGACATAGCCATTACGCTAACTGCTGGTTCCCTATAATTATTAATTTTTTAAGAGAGAATTTTACTCTAGGGAGTGTGTGCTCTCTGGAGAGACGGAGAGAGACAGACAAAGAGAAATCACCTGTTATATTTCTTGTTTTTGTAGGAAAGTCACAGTATGTTTAAACTAGTGCTCTATAGAAAGCAGTCTTTAGGTACAAGATTATCATGCTGTAACAAATGTTTTAAGTTGAATATGATATTTCAAAAATATCAGAGAACAATCCTATCTAGATAATTACAGGAAATACATAATTCCACATCCTTTATCACTCAAATGTGGCTATTCCATTCAAAAGACAGAAGTGGACAGTGATAAAGAAATAACAGAAGTTATTTACGCATGCACAAGTAACATTCTTAGCTTATTTTTCTGCAGTTTTCCTAATTTTGTTAATGTGGGCACTTAGAAATGTTCTGAACACATTTATCAACTTGCAGTCATAAAGTGTAATAACAATTCTGGGCCATCAGAATTTTGCTATTCTAGCAAACTATTTCTGTAAATTATTACTAAAGTTAAAATAACATATGTATTTTCTATTAGGAATATGACAAGAAATGTAGAACTCTTGAGACAAGTGCGAAGAAAGCTTGAAAGAGACACAAACAGGAAATAATGACAATTTGGCACTGATATTCAAGTATGACATTGCATTCCAGCAACGCTTCCCTATCCTCCATGCAGGGAATAAGAAAGTGCAAACCAATTGCAAAGCTTTTGCTGCAAAGTGGACACTCAGACCAGTACTGATATATTTTAATTACGAGAATTCATCATAATATTTTGCCCATGGCAGTCCTCAATATTGCAAAGTTCCTATTAAATTACATGTCAGTATTTTTCATTTTCTAGAAAATAACCCAGGGAGGGACCAGCAATTGGAGTAATGGCTATGTCACTGGACTCGCATGTATCCGACCACAGTTTGAGTCCTGGACCGGGTGGCTTAGACTCATGCAGGGCATATGTGCATGCCCAAGACCCCGAGAGGTGAATGGAGGAGAAGGGATTGCCCTGTGGCCATCCCCCCAGGGGGAGGGGGGGTGATTTCTTGCTTTCTATCTCTCTGTCTTTCTGGAGAGCGCACACGACCTATTACAAAAACCTCTCCAAAAAAAGAAAATAACCCAGGGAAAAATGCATTTGATCCAATATAACTTCTTCTGTTTCACTAGGTGAAAAGTGTCCAATGTAAGGTCTTCTTACAGTCTGAACATTATTTAACTAATGGAGTGATGGCAGAAATATCAAACATTTGCTGAAAACAAGTTCCATCCTTTTGAACTGAAACTGAAATTGATAACACATGTTAGTACCTAGTTCTGAGCAAGGACTGTGCCCCCAGCTTTCTGCTACTTTGAAGATCAGAGACTCTCTCACCTTCTTTTGTTTAAAACCATCGAGCTCAAAATGTACCATTAAAATTGTTTATGGCTCAATTCAAATAAATGAAAATATAATGATTGAGTAAAGGGTTTTTTCTAAATGACTTGAAAAATAGTATATCATATAAGGGGTCTTCAAAAAGTTGACTGAAAACGTGTTTTCTGAAAAAAACTACTTAAGGATTTTATCTTGAATATTGTACCAAATAAGCTCATATTTTAATTTCATTTTTTCACAAACTTTTTGTAGTCTTGTCATATTAGATGTAGTGTTTCAAAGCACACAATCAATAGCAATAATAAAAATAAATACCTTTGAGTGATAAAAACATATGACTAGCTTTTGAGAATTTTCTATATATCAAGATTAACTGGAAAACTCTCAAAATTAACCAGAAATAGTAACTTAGATTTGCATAATCATTCACCATTTGATATATTCTTTTGCAATACCATCTAATTTGTAAGGTGTCTGGAAATAGTAAAACAGTACTGTTAATTCCATGTTATAAGTGAACATGGGAATCTATGTGAATGGTTTAAATTCACAAGCAGTTTCATAGTAAATACAATTGAATCAGAACTTGAACTCAGATCTGATGATTTATTTAGATATTGATATGTTTGTTTTTCCTTCTTACATACAATATCCTTTATTAAATCCTAAGCATCACACTGATTGTGTGTATATTTGTGTGTGTGTGTGTGTATGTGTGTGAGTGCATGTATTTCCAAACTCTACAGGTAGATTGATTTAGAAGTCATATAGTCTCAGGAAACAGTAAATAAGAAGAATAGAATGAACAACGTTTTGGGAGACAGAAGTGCCATAGGAATATAGTAAATCCAACATATTAACATTATTATGAGGCGTTCCTATTTCCTCCCAGATGTTACAGGGTGCCAGACTTAGAACTTTTAAATGTGCCACTAAGGAGTTCAAAATTTAATTCTAGGTCTACTACTCTATTATGTTTTCAATATATGAGATGACTGGGGTTTATATAGTCAGATTTGGCATATTCTTACATGCTTATTTGACCAGGGAGATATATCAAATTTAGAACTTTCACCCCAAGAATAAGGCAGTTGTAATTCATATCAGAATGTTACAGAATCAGACTTGAATAAGATGTTTAATATAATACCTGCAATTTTTAAAGGTCACTTTAAAGATATTTTTTCTTGCATTTTTCCATGGGACTCATTGTATGGATTTCTTTTCTAATTATCATAAGCCACAGTTAATTATTTCATTTTATATCTAATGGAAATTTGCCACAATAATTATGATTTAGTGTAGCTTATAATTTAGTAAACACATGCACATAAAATAGTAAAATACAATGGGTTTCTTGCAATGATTCATAACACTAAAAGCAAATAAAAAATCCATTCATGTTTGATAAAATAATACAAAAGTCTATCATAATCATGTACTCTATTACCAAACTTATATTCAAAACCAATACTTAGTTCATAGTGATTTTTATCTTTTCTTCATGATAGGTGTCAGAAATTTAAAGTTTTTTTTTTAAGTGTTAAAGGTTATTAGTTATCTCCCCATTTTGAAACTTGAGAGATTCTTTGGTTGAAGTTGTTAGGGAAGATTTTGAACATCAAAATATACAAGAATAACTAGGGTACAAGAATTAAAAAGAGAAACTAGTTTTTGTCCAGAGTTGGGGATAGAAGCAAAATGAACAGAACATGCTTTTTGTTTGTTTGTTTGGCATTTTTACTACAAAGTGTATATGCTCACCTGAGAAAGATGAGAGAGAGAAAGTGAGAAATTGTCCCTGTGGGATTGCCACACTGCAATTCTTTCTCCTACACTCTCCTCTCAGGTTTTTGGGCATGCACGCACATGCACCCAGAATCATTTTCAAGTAGCCAGGTCTGGGGCTTTAACTGTCCAGCCAGTGTGTGGAATGCCTTAAGGTTCACACCACCTGCTAGTCCCAAAATGAGTTTTTAATTTTATCTCCAGAATTCATTCACTAGTTAAACAAGATACTTGTCTTTTACAGTTACTGTTGCTCAACTGTGAAGGAAAACTTAGAGCTAACTCACAGGGCAGTGGTAAGAATGTCACAGTAACACTAATGCCAGGACTTCATAAAAGAGCTAGTGAAAAGGGAGTGAGAGGAAGGGCTGCATTAATACCAGTGCGGTGTTTTCTCCTCGGTGGGACTCAGGATCCTCAAACACTCCGTGAGGATGTCATGAAGGATATTAAATGGCTCGGTGACATTAAAATCCCAGGTAGACGTGACACTAAAGCTCTATAGACATAAAAATAGTCTATACATGATGTTGCTTTGAAGGAACAAAGGATTTTTTTATACTTCTTTTCAATTCTTACTACTGCGAATGGTGTTTTCATTAATTAGTAATTTTTTCAAATTTAAATGTTTTTTATTAGAAAATATTTTAATTACTACTAGTTTGACCTGACTTTTAAGATGCAGAGGAAAACCAACAATGACAACAAACAAACAAAAAACAGCAATAACAACAAAACTTACAAGACTAAATATGGATTTACAATATATAGCTAGATTATTCTACATTAAATTCTTGACCCCATTTATTAAAAAAGAATATTCAAAAAGAAATGCAAGTATATTTCAGTTAAACCATGCTCTATGAGAAAGGAAATGCCTTTTTAGTCACACTAAGTGAGAATAGGTATTAGTGCCATTTGGAAAGTGCTCTATGTAATGTTAAAGAAAAATATCATTGTGAAAAATATAATGAACAATGTCTGTTGGTAACCATAGAGTATGTAAATGTGGTGCCAATGAATTATCCCCTAAAGGATGCCAAATTCTCTGCCATATGTTGCCTTTCACTCAAGAGTTTGCTGCCAATTTTGCTTATTCTCCATCCTGTGCTCCAAACTCTTGAGGGGAAAAAGAGGTCCTAGGGCATTGTCAAGAGGTTTTCATTGGGATTGGAGCCAAAAATCACAGATCTGCCTCACGGGAACCCTTCGCAGCCTGGCTGGATAAACCATCATGGAAATAAGTTCAGCTCTCTATCATGGGCTGTGTGCCAGAGTTCCCCTGAGAAGTCAAAAATCCACATGGGACCCTAAATCTAAACTATTTTTAATCCACAGAGAACCCAGAAAAAGTCTTGGGTCTACTGTGATCCCAGCCTTTACAGCTCAGAAGAATTCCCTGGACTCCCATAATTTTCTTAAAGGTAAGAGGCTGAGGGTGGAGTAGAGATTTGGAAAATTAAATAAATCTGGTGAATAATAAAACTAAAGACAACTAGCTGGGGGTTCCTGGCTAAATGGACTCATTGCTTTTCCTCAATACTCTACATAAAAGTTCTCAATGATCCTCCTCTTTATAATAGTTTAATCAAATTATCTTCAAATAGTCCAATGTCTAGCTCTTAATATTTTTAAATTTGTTTTTTATTTGTATTGTTATTATACACTGACAAAGTATAGGTGCATCTATTTTTAAAGTACAAAATGGTATAATGATTTTTGAATGCTGTGGAAAGATTGAATTAAGTTAATTAACATTTTCATGGCATCTAATATTTAGCATTTTGATAAGAATTTTAGAAATTTCTTTTCTTAAATATTAATATTTTCAGCCAACCAGAGGCATGGTGATTAGTACTTTTTAAAAAATGAAAACTCTACTTAAGTATCTTTACTCTATTTTCAAAAATACCATATTAATCATAATTTAGTTTTTTCCTTAGAATTGAAGGTACTTAAGAAAAAAGTAATTGAGTTCGGATTTAAACCATCTTTGAGCAACAGGTGCAAAAGCAGGTCTTAGTCTTTACTTACTTTTAGTAACAACTCCTTCTAGCCGAATGATATTGGGGTGGTCAAATTGTCCCATTATGCTTGCTTCTCCCAGGAAGTCTCTTCTCTGTTTATCTGTATACCCTACTTTCAGGGTCTTGATGGCCACTGAGATCTCTTTTTTTGAAGGAAGTTTTAAGCGACCGCTACATACTTCTCCAAATTCACCTGTTAGAATTCAGAAGGATGACAACAAAATATAAGATTTTATATAATAAAAAATCATCATTGGAGAGAATTATTTTTCAGTAAGCTCACTAAATATATTTATGCCTTTTACCTACAAGAGCTTCACTGTAGGCCTTCAACATATTTTGGACGATGGTGATATGACTGCCTAGGAAACCACAGGACATACATATCCTGCTGGAAAATGGACCTGATGAGAAACTCCATATATTTTAAAGCACTGCACTATGACTAATGTAAGATGAAAAAAATGAGAGAAAGTTAAAAGCTGTATGTGTCAAACTTTTCACTCCCATTCTTACAGCTACCATTATTGCATGGTAAATAAGAGGCCAGCACAGATATTAAGGATTGGATATTGGCTTAAATTTAGATGTCCTTAACCATTTTGATTTTGCTAAGAGAGCCAATTTGGTTATATACTTAGACTCTCCAAAAATGAGAATGAAAGCATCTAGTATCAATTAATTTAATGGTATATAGCTGCACTGCATTATTGAATACTGACTATAAAGTTTCTGGGTTTCTGAGAAGAGACAAATGAAATAAAAATATCAAAGAAAACATAGCATGTTTTATCTAAAGAATTATTATGGAGGTATTTTCTTAGATTCAATATATTTAATACAAAGTTGTCTTCTTGTGCAATAAACCATAATTTGTTGAATATAAAGTTCTGCTAACTTTTAAATATTATAATCTGATTGCTATAAAATTATCTAGAACTAGTATGGGTGATTTTGAGCTTCCTTAAAGAAGAGACCCTTAGCATGCATTTCTCTTTTCCCATGGTTGCCACTGTGTTACTCCAAAGCAGTTCCATCAGTAGAAAGTTCCTTTCTCACAGAATTTCTAAACTTGTGGATTAGTAGATATGTTTTATACTACATTAAAAATATTTTTTTAATGTTAAAACCGATTTTTTCTGAAGTATTTTAAGATGAACTATGATTGAGACCAGCAGTTGGCATAATGGCAATGTGGCTGGACTCTCATGTAGTCAACTATGGTTCGAGTCCCGGACCCAGTGGCTTAAACTCATGCTGGGCACATGTGTGTGCATGCCCAGGATCCTGAGAGGAGAATGGCAGAGAAGGGATTGTGGCATGGCCATCCTCCCTCGGGGCTGGGGAGGGGGATTATTTCTCACTTTCTGTCTCTCTGTCTCTGTCTTTCTGGTGAGCACATGGGCTCTATAGCAAAAGCTCTCAAAAAAAAAAAAGATGAATAATGATTATTTTTTGATTTTCTGTGGAATGGCACAGCATCTTTGGTCTAATCTTCTTAGCATGAGTTTTCTATAAACTTCATGTCCCCATTTATCAGCCAGAAAGATGTGAAATGAGGGACTGGCTGTTAGTGTAATGGCTATGTTGTTGAACTCCCATGTAGCCAACCATGGTTTGAGGAGAATGGAAGAGAAGGGATTGCGGCATGGCCGGATGATTTCTTGCTTTCTGTCTCTCTGTCTCTCTCTGTCTTTCTGGAGAGTGCATGAGCCCTATAGCAAAAACTTCTAAAAATAAATAAATAAATAAATAAATGAAAAGAAGTGAAATGATTATTTTCTAGGGTTTTTTTTTTGATACAGTGAGGTTTTGACCCTCAAAAATATTATATTCTCCTACTGATCTGTCACCTACATAACAACAACAAAGACTTTACTCTTTCTAGAAAGTTCTAAACTCTCTCAGACTTGACCCTTTTCCAAAAATCCAGTCTTGTCACTGTTATGAAAGGAATGACTTAGGTTATAACTTGGCTAAGTCTTCTAAAGTCCAAAAGGAGATACCTGTGCATTTATTTATCAAATATTCATCAACTGTCAACAACATGGCAAACACTAAGGAAAACTCAGGTGTCATGGTAAACAAGGTAGGACTAGTTTCTTTCCTTTGAACAAGTATAGAGAAGATAACATCTGCAGCGATAGTGTTTCTTAGGATCCTAGGGAGGATTAGAGAGCAGAACTTTAGGAAGTCTATTGATCATGCTAAATCCAATGCAGAATACGTCATTATTGGTATGTGAGTATCAGAAGTTATGACGTAAAGCCAAGTTATGATGTAAAGTCATTGTCAGAATTCGCAGGCAAATGTAAAATTCCTTTCCTTATAGAGAGTTTTCTGAACATTTCAGGAGAGCTCCAGTTCAGTTTATGTAAAAATGAATTTGGAGAAACCATGAGGTGACATCTATAATGACCTTTAATTTTTTGAAAGAAAATTCTGACATCATCATGAATCAACATGGAACAATAGATCATGTGTTAAATTCAGGTGTCATCAGCACTTTAGGTGACATGTCACTTCATTTATAGCTACAGGCACAGCTACCTTTAAAATTCATGAAAATAGTATTTCAGCAATGTTAAGTTTGTTTTGCTTTGATTTTTGTTTTTAGCCATAGAGCATGTGTACTTGCCAAAAAGAGACAGAGTGAAGGAAAGGGAGAAATCACCTCAGAGAGGAAAGCCATGTGACAGTCCCTTCTCCTCCATTCTCCTTTCAGGATTTTGGGCATGCATGCACATGCATCTGGCATGATTTTCAAGCTACTTGTCTGGGATTTAAACCACATTTGACCATGAGGGAGCCTTAAACATCACAACACCTTCTGGCCACAGTGTTGTTTTAAAACTCACAAAATTTAATAATATTATATTTCATTAGATAAATACTAGAAATAGTCACCAATATATTATATGAGACATAGAAATATTAACTATTAATTTAATTATGTTTATAATAATTTAGAAGTACTGTGTTGGAAAAGTCAACAAAGACTTGGGTAATATAATTTCCATTATTTTCATCTAGCCCAGTTTTATATTGCCTTACTCAATTAAGTTTGTAACCATAAGAAAAAACTTAGATTGCATCACTTCTAATTAAAAGTATAACTACTGGATCTTAACTGATTTAATCTAATAAATGTAACTGTTACTATTTGCTCTTTGAAGTAGGTATGCTTTATGAGACTGGATACCATATTCTCATTTAACATGCACAATGAAAAAGTTGCTTAAAGTAAAATTCCTTGGAAAATATCTACTTGTGTGTATAACTAGAATGATCCCTTTCCTTTACCATACTCAAAGATCATTCTCCTTCTACTGATTAATAAGATAAGTATATCTTCAGTGAAGCTTCTATGGACCTCCCTGGATTGTGAGTGTGAGTGGAGGAGCTTAGAGAAGTGTCTAAAAAAGAGGAAGGGCCTGGGGATCACCCTTCTGAAATAGGAACATAGAAGGAGGCATCAGCCCCCTGCCCCCCTGTTTTCCAAACCTAGAGATCCCCAGTCTCAAGGAAAGACAGGAACAAACACAATTTTGCTGGGCCACAGTCCTGTGAAACCATGTCCCTGCCCAATGTCCACTTCCTATGCCCAGCTGTCACCTGCTTGGACAACCCCTGCATTTAAGGGCACAAGTCTGCAGACACTATGTCAGCTGGTACCTGCAACCTTTCTGTCTTCTCTGCACCTACATATGCAGGTTAACATTCTCCGACCACCTGGCTCCAAGGCCATATCAGAATTCCTGCCCATCTGCACTTGAAGCTGCACCATGGACACACACAGGCCCCATCTGCCTGAACTCATGACCATACAGATAGACATATAGACTCTGCCCACAGTTATGGGAGAGGGTATGTATGACCCACCATGTAATAACAACATCCTTGGCTTGTCCACCTGTGACAAATTGTTGATGGAAGGATGCAACCATGGGAAATGTCAGGCGCTGGTGCAGACAACTTTCTCCATCTCCAGAGACTGCCCAGGAATGACATTCTAAATAACTGGTCACTCCCTGAGTCACAACTCTTCAACTAATACCTGCATACCTCTTGTGGGCAACCCACTGAAGACAAAGGTAATTATTTATTTTCAGTTGATACATTCTTTTGGCTACTTTCACTGAAGGAGCATCCTGCTCCCTACATAGGGCCTGAGAACTTTGGTAGCTACATACACTATGGGAAAGCAGCGACATCAGTTCTGAGACATTCATCTCCTCTACAACTGGGACTCAAGTACACAACATGAGCCTTATTTAGAGCCCCCAATCAGAAACCAGGAGGACCTCACTGATGTCTCTAAACATATATAAAGTCTTTCACACTGAGCCCAACTGGAACCAAAGCCAGTATGACCTAGTTAAAACTCACACTAAAATACATAGCAGCTATAAGAAAAATAAAATAAATAAAATGTTACCACTATAATATCCAACCTATAAATTAAGAAGTATTTCATCAGATGCAGAAAAATCAACACAAGGATGCAAGAAACATGAAACATGAAAAAGCAAGGGAATATCTCTCCTCAAAAAACATACTAAAGCCACACTAACAATGGAAAAGATGCAGAATAGCACAAAAATGTCAGAAGTGGATTTCACAGTATTGATTATAACCAAACTCAGTGAGATACAAGAGAACTCAAACAATTTCAGGGGGAAAATAATTCAGACATAGAAGAGAGATTCAATAGAAATTGAAACACACACACACACACACACACACACACACACACAATCCAGAAGATGAGCAATACAATACAGAATTTTTTTAAAAAAATTCAGTAATGTTTAGACCTGAAGAAAAAAGAATCTCTGAACTTAAATACACAACTTTTAAAAAACTATCTAAAATAAAGAAAAAAAAATGTTATAAATGAAGAGAAGATTCAAGAAATCTGGGACAACTTTGGGGAATCAAATATCTGTATAATGAGTATCCCAGAAGGTAGGAAAGAGGGCAGAAAATCTACTTCATAAAATATTAACTGAAAACTTAAAAAGACCTACAGAGAGATACAGACATCCAGATTCCAGAAATTTAAAGGCTGACTAATAGATTTATCATAAGGTCTTCTCCAAGGCACATTTTTACTAAAATGTCAAAAGTCAAAGATAAGAAAAAAAAATCCTCCAAAATTACTATAAACACTAAGTTACTTATAAAAAGTAC